ATTGTAATATTACATAATAAAATTTTCTTTCCTTCTTCCTTTTATTCTCCGTCTTTTTGTTCGCTTTTTTCAATTTTGGTGTTAAAACTCAAACACCGTATCATACTCTTAATCTTCCTATATTGTTTTTTTTCTTAAATAAAAGAATAAGGCATTGATAGTCCAATAACATGCGTTTTATTCTTTTATGAACTGTTTTTAGCTTCCCTATAATTTGAAGTAATTTGTCACAAAGCTAGATTCTTCGAAGGTATATTTTTTGTTATCAATCTATCATTGCAAAACAAACTTTGAGGATCTAGATCTTCTGGATTTCTATCTTATTATATTCCAGTATAATTCCTTAAATATTAATTTAAGATCAAATTAAAACTTTAGAAATGATACCCATTTTGCTTTAGCAAAGAGAAAATAGAATTCCTTACTTGAAATCCCAAAAATGAAAAAAAAAGTTGTAATTTGATAAACCAGTAATTTAATATTTGTAATTTCCATCTTATTATATTCCAATATAATTCTTTGAATATTAATTTAAGATCAAATTAAGATCAAATTGTAATTTGATAAACCAGTAAGTTAATATTTGTAATTTCTATCTTGCTATATTCCAGTATAATTCTTTGAATATTAATTTAAGATCAAATTAAAACTTCAGAAATGGTACCCATTTGCTTTAGCAGAGCGAAAATAGAATTCTTAACTTGAAATCCCCAAAATGAAAAAAAATTTGTAATTTGATAAACCAGTAATTTAATATTTGCAATTTGATGTACTACACTCTCCAGAGCAAGCGGTAAAGAGTTGCAACGTTTAAGTTGCAATATTTAAAAATGTTTAAGATGGGATTTTTACTCTGAATTAAAGAAGATTGATCTTAAGACAATAGGTGTAATAGTTTAGAAATTATAAAGTTTTTATTTATGAAAAGTGCACTTTTGTTTCTTTTCTTATTTTCACTTCTGATTTTGCTAACTGATCAATTGTCTATGCAAGTAAAATAGACTTTCAAGAGAAATTCTTTACTCTAAATTCAATGAAGAAAGTCTGAGTCCAATGAAGAAAGAGTTCCAAGAATTTTATTCGTACAAAGTGCTATTCAAAAGGAACACTTTTTACGAAAAGAAAACAAATACAATTTTGGAAATATTAATTCAATTAAAGCAGTTCAGTTTCATTTAATTTAGCTTAAAAAATATTTTAAAGCGTACCTCACTTGTCCAGAGAGCAATGTAAAATGCATTACTAGGTTCAGAGCTTAAACAGGCACGAAATTGTAAATAATTTACTTAAAACCCTTTTAACTTTTAAAATACTCTTCCTATTGACTTTTTCATGATCTCATTCTATTCATTTACAAATTTTTTCAACAGGGATATTCAACTAGTTTAATTAAATATTAGTTTTGTACGTACGTAAACGTACTTTTTGATAGTTTTTGTTTTACAGTTTTATCAGGCTTTGACATTTGGGAGCTATATCCAATCAGCAGAAAATATTTTAAAGGAAAAAATCATTTATATAGAAATAATTTGCTTTTAAACTTTTGACTAGCAGTGAAAAATAGACATCATTGCTCTAATCGCTTTTATTCATGTACAAAAAACATAATTAGATTTTATACATAATTAAGTGATGCTACTGGTGCGGCAGCAGCTCGGAGACCTTGAGCTACAGCAGCGGGGGGTGGTAGTTCCACCACGTAAAGAGCATCACCGGCAGCTTGGCTTGAGAGCCCTGGTTCATTGCTGTGGATGATAGCTTTGTACCCATCAGCTCCAGCAGTATACTCAACTCTCCTGTAGACTCCAATGGGATCCAGGTATCCATAGTTACCCTTGACTTCTCCAGTACCATCAGCAACTTCATGACGATGTTGAGTCATTCCCAGTCCATTTCCGAACTCATACCCGTATTCGTAAGGCTTTGGTGGCTCTGGAGCTGCTAGAACTGGAACTTGTCCTGGGAAAGTTCCTGGAACGATTGCTGGCCCAGCTAAAGAACAGCAGATTAAAGAGAAAAGAAGTGCAACTACGAGTTGAGGCATGCTTGGGTGCGAAAAGGCTGCTGTTGGCGATTAGAGCTTTTTGAAACGATTGTGATGATGTCTTGTTTGGGCTCTCTTTTATAGCACAGACTGTTCACGGGGAGTTTACTGAACCAGAAGATATGAGTAAGTTATTTAGAGGAATTGCATACTTCAATAAACTCGAAAGGTTCAAGACATGTTTTAAAGTTTAGTTTTCTGACAAAATCTTTGTTCTTTGACTTCAAGAGTGAGTTACTTTTGGGTGTGTCGAAAACGCATATTTCAATGAAGAAAAAGAAAACATTTCCTATTTATTTTTCCTTTGTTAAAAATAATCCTCGTATCTTTGGATAACACGTAGAATGTAATGAAATTTAAAATTACGCGTTTTTAGCATGCTTTACATACGTACAGATTAAGAATGTTTCAAAAATCTGTTTTTTTTAATTCTATTAATGAATCACTCTAGATTGGTGTAAAGTAAATAAGCATGTATCTAACATTTAATGGTACAAAGGGATAAATGCTTTTTTGTCTATTTTAAAAACCATTATGATTTCTTAATAAGGAAATTAAACGTTGGTATGAAAAAGGTTTCATGCAAAAGCAAACTGGTAAAGCAGGTAGAAAGAACGAATATACACTGCTAAAAAAATTATGGCAAAATTAACGATACTTTTGTCTTTATGGGAACAACAAAAAGTTTGGTAATTTTTACCGAAGTGCTTTAATAATTTTAATAAAATTAACAGTAAATTTTTTTATAATAGGTGATAAAATATTTAAACGTTGTAAAAATGGGTAAATGTGGTAAATTTTTTTTTTCTGTCTTGATACTTTAGAGAGTGGCATAAAAATGATTTATATGGTTAAACTTATTTTTCTGTCTTGAATCGTTTACTAAATGTGTCGTAATAGAAATCATAATTTTGAAAATTGGAATTTCCGATAAACTGTTGGTATATGAACGGAAAAATTACTAATTGAATGGTTTATACAACGTATATTTTGTTTTTAAAAACCAGAATTATATTTTGTTTCACCTGAAATGTCATTTTCATAGAGTTGGGCGAATTAGCCAAAATTTCTAGCCAGAAATATTTGCCAAAATTTTTAGCCAAAATTTGCCAGAAATATTGCTATTGAATGTTTATTGCCTATTGAGGTTGCATAAATATTGCTTATAGAAATTAAATTATTACTCCTTTACGAGAAAATTAAGTTTTACACGAAATCGAAGAACAATATGGAATAATTTATTGTGCGATTTTTCTGTTACTATGCGAACTTCTAAATTGTAATCTGTATCGTTCTACAGACTCGGTAGTTTTGCGTCCTCAATGATACCTAACGCTGCCCTCCACAAATGCGTTCTTGAAGAGTTTTCAGCATATGATTCATAAATAATGTCTTTGACTTAACCCCAAGAAAGAAATCATATGGCATAAAGTCCTCGGATCTTGCTAGCCATGTTATGGATAAATCTCTTGTCTCCCGTCCACTCAAGATAATGCTTAGGAGCGGTAGTGATGCTGAAACTATTGCAAAAAATTAAAGAATACATTAGTACAGCATAATTAGAAGTTTCTCGGAAAAAATGGTTAAATAACTATTTATTTAATTGTTATTTCACCACATTTAAGCAAAATAGTCAAATAAGCATTAAATATAATGATATTCAAACTGATAATTGTGAGAAAAACTGTTTATTAACTGTTTTCACCTAATACGGTTAAACAACCAGAATTTTATCGCACAAACTAGGCCCACCTAATGAAGCTACTTAGTTCCTAGTAGATGGGTACATATTGTTGCCGAGAGGGTTAATCTGTCAATCTCATGCCCGATAGATTGAGGTTCGAGTCCTAGCGTTGCACTACAATATTTCCTCCATTCCATCGACTTTTTCATCATCTCATTCTATTCATTTACAAGCTTTTTCAGCTGGGACATTGAGCTAGTTTAATTAAATATTAGTCTTGAACGTACGTAAACGTACTTTTTGATTGTTTTTGTTTTACAGTTTTATAAGGCTTTGACATTTGGGAGCTATATCCTATCTGCAGAACATATTTTAATGGGAAAAATCACTTATGTAGAAATAATTTGTTTTTAAACTTTTGATAATAGTGAAAAACTGACATGATTGCTCTAATCGCTTTTATTTATGTACA